CTCCCCCCTATATATATATATTTATTTTTTATCCCCTCCCCCTATATTTATATATATATCACCTGTTTTCCCCTTTTTTTATATATATATATATTTCACCTGTATTTTTTTATTTTATATTTATATATATTTTCACCTGTATCCCCTTTTATATATTATATTATTTTTTTTTTTATATTTTATATTTTTTTTATCCCCTCCCCCCTATTTATATATATATCACCTTATCCCCTTTTTATATATATTATATCACCTTATATTTTTTCCCCCCTATATTATATATTTCTGTATTTTTTTTCCCCCCTATATTATATTTTTTTTTTTTTTTTTTTTATTTTTTTATATTTATTATTTCCCTTTTTTTTTTTTTTTTTATTTTATTTTTATCACCTTTATTTTTTCCCCCTATATATATTATATTTTTTTTTCACCTGTATCCCCTCCCCCTATATATATATATATCACCTGTAATCCCCTCCCCCCTATATATATTTATATATCACCTGTATTTTTTTTTTATTTTTCTATATATATATATATTTTATCCCCTCCCCTATTTATATATATTCACACTGTATTTTTTTTTATATATTTATATCACCTGTATTTCCTCCCCCCTATTTATATTTATATATACCTGTATTCCCCCCCCTATATATATATCATATTTTTATCCCCTTCCCCCCTATATATATATATATCACCTGTATCCCCTCCCCCCTTATATATATATATATTTTACCTGTATCCCCTCCCCCCTATTTATATTTATATATTATCACCTGTATCCCCTCCCCCCTATAATATATATTATCACCTGTATCCCCTCCCCCCTATATATTTTATATTTTTTTTTTATCCCCTTATATATATTTATATCACCTGTATCCCCTCCCCCCCCCCCTATTATATATATATATCACCTGTTTTTTTTTTTCCCCTCCCCCTATATATATTATATATATATCATTCACCTTTATCCCCTCCCCCCCTATATATATATATATCACCCAGTATATATATATATATATATCACCTTATCCCCTTTTATTTTTTTTATTATTTTTTTTTTTATTTTTATATATTTATATTTTTTTTTGTATCCCCTTTTTTTTTTTTTTTTTTCTTTTTTTTTTTATATATATATTTTTTTTTATTATAAATCACACCTTTTTTTATATCCCCTCCCCTATATATATATATATATATATCACCTGTATCCCCTCCCCCCATATATATATCTTCACCTGTATCCCCTCCCCCCCCCCTTCTATATTTTATATTTGTATCCCCTTATATATATTATATATTTTTATTTTTACCTTATTTATTATTTATCACCTGTATCCCCTCCCCCCTTATATATATATATTATCACCTGTATCCCCTATTTTTTTTATATATATATATATATATCACCTGTATCCCCTCCCCCATATATATATATATCACCTGTATCCCCTCCCCCCTATATAATTTTTATATCACCTGTATCCCCTTCACCCTATATATATAATATATCACCTGTATCCCCTCCCCCCCTATATATATATTTTTTTCACCTGTATCCCCTCCCCCCTATATATATATCTATCACAACCTTATCCCCTCCCCCCCCATATATATTTTTCCACCTGTTTATTTTTTATCCCCCATATATATATATATCACCTGTATCCCCTCCCCCCTCTATATATATCACCTGTATCCCCTCCCCCATATATATATATATCACCTGTATCCCCTCCCCCCTATATATATATCACCTGTATCCCCTCCCCCCTATATATATATATCTATCACCTGTATCCCCTCCCCCCTATTTATATATATCACCTGTATCCCCTCCCCCCTCTATATATATCACCTGTATCTCCCCCCCCCCCCCCCTATATAGAGCCCCCTCGGTGGTTACAGTGGAGATGGGGGGCGGGGCTCCGTGATTTTGGCTCACCGGCGGTAAGCTCCGCCCTCCATCCCGCCTCTCATCTTGGCGCAGTCTCTTCTCCCCGGATGGTGTAAATATTGGCGATGAGCGGGGGAGGGGGATGATGGCCCAGGTGTGTCCTTGGGCTCTGAGATGAGTGGCGTGCGCTCCATGCGTCGCTCCCTCCCACGTCATCCCGCCATTCCGCGTCCTTCATGTCCTGAGCTCGGCTCACCTTGTAACGTCAACCATTTGTGTCTGTCCTTCGCTGCGTCTCCTCCTCCAGTCCCCTCCACCAATGGCTGCACGGCATTCCTGGGGGCGGGATTCCTCATGGTGGGCACCTTGTCTGTGTCACGGGTGTAGGAGCGGCCTTGTGTGCTCTCCATTGGGTGACCACGTGGGGAGACCAGAAAGAGAGCGTTGTCACCCTAGGAAGGGGGAGTGGCTGAGCGACGACTCCCATGGTGGGGATGATGGGATTGAGAATCGCTTCACACCATAGAAACGCCTTCTGCTGCGTGCTTTTGGTTCATTCCGGTGCGTTTCTTATGCATTTCAGGTTCCCCCCCCCTTTTTCTTCATTCTAAATCGGGACGTGTGCGTTCTGGTGCGGTATTGATGCGTTTTACTGCATTTCAGTTATGTGCAGGAAAAATGCAGCCAGAACACACCGGAACCGCAAGCCCTGATGTGAACCATGACACTGACCACCCTGTCACCGACTTTCTGTGCGTTTTGGTTGCAGATAAAAAAGCGACTCAACACACCCGTAGTGTGAAACGGCCCCTACGGCCGATTCACGCCATTGAAACGCAGTCCGGATGCGTCCCCCCCAAAGCGTTTGACGCGTTTCGGTGCGTTTTTGATGTGTATTTGGCTTGTTCCGGATGTGTTTCTGCAAGTGTGTTTTTAGTGCGTTCCGGGGAGTTTTTGGTGCATTTTTTGGCGCGATCCAATGTGTTTTTGGTGCATTCCAATGCATTTTTTAATGCGTTTTTGGTGCGTTTTTGATGTGTATTTGGCTTTTTACAGATGTTTCCTCAAGTGTGTTTTTTGGCAAGTTCCAATGTTTTTTGATTTACTTTTTTCCCCTCTTTTTCTTTGATTTAAGTAGGGATGTGTGCATTTTGGTGTGTTTTTGCTGCGTTTTGGTGCATTCTGGTGCGTTTTTTGATGCATTTTACCGCGTTCCAGTGCAGTTCTGTGCAGGAAAAATGCCGTCCATTCTACTTTTTGTTTTTGTTCCTGCAACCAGAACGCACCGGAACCAGGGGTGGACTGACCATTTGGAAACTCGGGCACTGCCCGAGGGCCTGGGGTCAGTAGGGGGCCCCATGAGATGCCACCTGGTACCTTTTTCATAGGCTTTTTGGAGTTTGGGCAAGGACACAGGGGCCCCATGATCCCCTATTGCCCGGGGGCCCCATGAGTTGTCAGTTCGCCCCTGACTGGAACCCATATAACCTACTTTCTGTGCGTTTTTGAAAACAAAAAAAAAATCTACACTGAAACAAATGTTTGCAACTGTCCCTTAGGGCCGACTCACACCATAGAAATGCAGTCCACGTGTGTTTCCGGATGCATTTCCTCGTGCGTTTTTTGGTGCGTTCCGGTGCATTTTTTAATGCATTTTTTGGTGCGTTTTTGATGTGCATTTGGCTTGTTCTGGATGTGTTTTACGCAAGTGTTTTTGGCACGTTCCAGTGTGTTTTTTGATGTGTTTTTTGGCACGTTCCAATGTTTTTTGATGCGTTTTTGGCACGTTGGAACAATGTGTTTTTGATGTGTTTTTTGGCAAAAACGCATCAATGTGTTTTTGGAATGTGCGTTTTTGGCAAAACGCATCAATGTGTTTTTGATGCGTTTTTTGGCACGTTCGCTGGTGTTTTTGATGTGGAAACACATCTGGAACAAGCCAAATACACATAAAAACCGCAAACGCATCAAAAACACATAACACATTGGAACGCGCCAAAAAACGCATAAAAACTCGCTGGAACGCACTAAAAACACACTTGTGGAAACATCTGGGAACAAGCGTGTTTTTTTAGTGCGTTCCAGCGAGTTATTGATGCGGTTTTTGCACACAATGTGTTATTGATGCATTTTTGGCGCGTTCCAGTGCGTTTTTATGTGTATTTGGCGCGTTCCATGCGTTTTTTATGTGTATTTGGCTTGTTCCCGATATGTTTCCGCAAGTGTGTTTTTAGTGCGTTCCGGCGAGTTTTTGATGCGTTCCAATGTGTTATTGATACATTTTTGGCGCATTCCGGTGCGTTTTTGATGCTTTACAGTCCCCCCCCCCCTTTTCTTCCACAATTTTAATAGTGACGTGTGTTCCAGTGTGTGCTTTGATGCATTCTGGTGCGTTTTTTGATGCATTTTACTACGTTCCAGTACAGTTTTGTGCAGAAAGAATGCGGCCTGTTCTACTTTTTTTTTTCCTTTTCCTGCAACCGGAACTGCGATCATTGATGTGAACGATGACACGGACAACCATATCAGCTACTTTCTGTGCGTTTTGAATGCAGAAAGGAAAAGCGACTGAAACGCATGGAGTGTGAACCGGCCCCTGTGGACGGTTCACACCATAGAAACGCAGGCAAGATGCATTTCCTCATGCACGTTTTTGGTGCGTTTGTGTTTTTGGGGTGTTTTCTGTGCGTTCTGAATGTTTCGCCATGTGCGTTTTTGGTGCGTGTTTTGATTCTTTGCGGTTTATTTTTTTCCTCAATTTAAATTGGAACATATGAGTTCCTCTGCGGTTTTTGATGGGCCAGCCCACTGATTCTGTCGGGACAGAGGGCTTTTCAGAGCAATGCTGATGGTTTTGGGAGCCGAGCACAGAACCCTGCAGCGCCCGCCCCCCCCCCCCAATCACCGGTCATCATAGAGAAGCACAGAGACCCAGTGAAAAAGAAAAAGGTATGCAATAAAAACAGCTGGGATTTATCCCGGGACTTGGATGGCAATAATCAGATTGGGAAGCTGCATTCCTTATCAGAGTCTTCCGGGTGGTTGTGGCCGGTTCAGTGAGCCGATCTCCTCCCACATCTCCTCCCACACGGCCAAGGTCTCTGCATTTCACACCATCTGACATCCCAGCCTGGCTGCGGGGGAGGGGTGTACTGCTCCGTGTAAAGGAAGGCACAGTCCCACTTCTCCTGTCCTGGATTCTCCTGTCCTTATGTATGTATGCCGGCACAGTCCCACTTCTCCTGTCCCGGATGCCGGGTGTCATTCTCGGTATCGTCCCCATTCTGTATGTATGGACTCTGCACAGTCCCACTTCTCCTGTCCTGGATGCCGGGTGTCATTCTCGGTATCTGTCCCCATTCTGTATGTATGGACTCTGCACAGTCCCACTTCTCCTGTCCCGGATGCCGGGTGTCATTCTCGGTATCGGTCCCCATTCTGTATGTATGGACTCTGCACAGTCCCACTTCTCCTGTCCTGGATGCCGGGTGTCATTCTCGGTATCTGTCCTTATTCTGTATGTATGGACTCTGCACAGTCCCACTTCTCCTGTCCCGGATGCCGGGTGTCATTCTCGGTATCGGTCCCCATTCTGTATGTATGGACTCCTGATACAAAAGTGCTTTCCTGCCCCTCCCCCAATGTATCTTGCACCTTATTGTTATCCAATGGTTGAGGGAAGTGGTCTGGGATCGGCGGAGGGGACTGCAGAGCGACTGGCGGAGGGGACTGGCGGAGGGGACTGGCGGAGGGGACTGCGGAGGGGACTGGCGGAGGGACTGCGGAGCGGACTGCAGAGCGACTGGCGGAGGGGACTGGCGGAGGGACTGGCGGAGGGGACTGGCGGAGGGGACTGCAGAGCGACTGGCGGAGGGGACTGGCGGAGGGGACTGCAGAGGGACTGGCGGAGGGGACTGCGGAGGGGCCTGCAGAGCGACTGGCGGAGGGGACTGGCGGAGGGGCCTGCAGAGCGACTGGCGGAGGGGACTGGCGGAGGGGCCTGCAGAGGACTGGCGGAGGAGGACTGCAGGGGGACTGGCAGAGGGGACTGCGGAGCGATTGGCGGAGGGGACTGCGGAGGGGACTGCAGAGCGATGGCGGAGGGGACTGCGGAGCGATTGGCGGAGGGACTGCGGAGCGATGGCGGAGGGGACTGCGGAGCGACTGGCGGAGGGGACTGCGGAGCGGACTGCAGAGCGACTGGCGGAGGGGACTGGGGTCAGTATGCAGACTGGTTATTACTGGGAAGGAAGTTCAGACAAAGTTGACTTGAGATCTAAAAATATCTTTTTTTTTTTTTTTTTCTGAAGTGAGTGCGGCTAAAACTAGACCGTGCGGTAAGGGCTATTAATAGCGCGATGGGTGCCGATCGCCATCTTTACTCCTGCAGAGCCACACCAACCGAAGAATCTCCATCATCCATCACATCCGAGGACGGGGGCGGGCCGCCAGCGAGGCAGACTGAGGTGACCTCCTTAGGTGGCCCCTGGTTGGGATAGAGGCCCTGGGGCCGGATTGTCCTTCTTGAAGATTCTCTCCTCTGATTGGACGATGACGCGGTCATTGGTTGCTGTAACCGTTTCCCAGCAACCAAAGGGGAGACGGGGCAGAAAAAAACATCCACCTAAATGTCAATTAACCTAGGTACACTTTTGCCTGGGAGTGCCTGATGCCTGCACCCCCCCCCCCCCCGTGGTTCTGTCCCGTGGTATCAAGTTGTCAGTTCTGTAAACCCGGACTGAGGAAGTTCTAGTGTTTCAGTTTCAGTTTTCCCTTCCATTATACCATGTCTGCCTAGGTGGCTTGAGCCCTGGTAGACAACTCGATGCCTCCAGGCCGGGGCGACTGTCAGCCATCATTTCTCTGAGGGCATCACCTCCGAGGTTAGGCTGCCTTTATATTGTAATCCGGGTTCACTTTATCCTCCATGTTACTTTAGGGTGCGGGAAATGAGCTTGTGGTTCAGTGTCATTCAGGGAGCATCCTGTGGGGTTTTTGGGGTTCAGTGGCTTCTGCTGTATTTTAAGGCAGCTGTATCTTCCAGAACCTTGTGTTACCTTCTGAGATGACCCCGGGGTGCACTGCGCCCACTAAACCAAAGGATTACTTGGTAACCTACAGCAATTAATAAGAATAGAGATGAATTCAAACTGGTTGCACTTGGGTACCTCACTTACCTCACTGTATTCACGTTTTGGCTACAGAGACCAGGAGCTTAGTGGGGTTTGTCTGGATTGGCAGAGCAGGAGTTGTAAATGTAGCTTTTTCTCCATCTAGGTCAGTTGATAGTCTCCCTACAACTCAATCTTCTCTTCATCTATTCATAAAGGTCCCCCAAGGTTCCATCATCAGACCCCTTGTGGTCTCCATCTGCACCTCCTCCCTAGCTCACTTGATAGACTCCCTGCAACTCAATGTTTCCATCTCCTCTTCATCTTTCCATAAAGTTCCCCTCAAGGGTTCCATCCTCAGACCCCTTGTGTTCTCCATCTACCCCTTGTGTTCTCCATCTACATCTCCTCCCTAGGTCACTTGATAGACTCCCTACAACTCAATGTTTCCATCTCCTCTTCATCTTTCCATAAAGTTCCACCAAGGTTCCATCCTCAGACCCCTTGTGTTCTCCATCTACATCTCCTCCCTAGGTCAGGTGATAGACTCCCTACAACTCAATGTTTCCATCTCCTCTTCATCTTTCCATAAAGGTCCCCCAAGGTTCCATCATCAGACCCCTAGGGGTTGATATACTAAAACTGGAGAGTGCAAAATATGATGCAGCTGTAAATGCTAGCCAAAAAAAAAACCTGGAAGCTGATTTGTTTCTATGCAGTTGCACCAGATTTTGCACTCTCCAGTTCTGGTAAATCAACCCCCTTGTGTTCTCTGTATACACTTCCTCCCTAGGTCAGTTGATAGACTGCCTGCAATTTAGTCTTCTCCTCTTCATCTATTCATAAAGGTCCACCAAGGTTCCATCCTTAGACCCCCTGTGTTCTCCATTTACATCTCCTTCCTAGGTCAGTTGATAGGCTTCCTACAACTCAATATTTTTGTCTCCTCTTCATCTTTCCATAAAGGTCCCCCAAGGTTCCATCATCAGACCCCTTTTGGTCTCCATCTGCACCTCCTCCTTAGGTCAACTCCATCTTCTTCTTTTTCTCCTCTTCATCTTTCCATAAAGGTCCCCCAAGGTTCCATCCTTCAGACCCCCTGTGGTCTCCATCTGCACCTCCTCCTTAGAGCAACTCAATCTCCTTGTCTCCTCTTCATCTTTCCATAAAGGTCCCCCAAGGTTCCATTCTCAGACCCCCTGTGTTCTCCATCTACATCTCCTTCCTAGGTCAGGTGATAGGCTCCCTACAACTCAATATTTTTGTCTCCTCTTCATCTTTCCATAAAGGTCCCCCAAGGTTCCCCCTGTGTTCTCCCATCTACATCTCCTTCCTAGGTCAGGTGATAGGCTCCCTACAACTCAATATTTTTGTCTCCTCTTCATCTTTTCATAAAGGTCCCCCAAGGTTCCGTCATCAGACCCCTTGTGGTCTCCGTCTGCACCTCCTCCTTAGGTCAACTCCATCTTCTTTTTCTCCTCTTCGTCTTTTCATAAAGGTCCACCAAGGTTCCATCATCAGACCCCTTGTGGTCTCCATCGCATCTCCTCCTTAGGGCAACTCAACCTTCTTTTTCTCCTCTCATCATCTTTCCATAAAGGTCCTCCAAGGTTCCATCCTCAGACCCCTTGTGGTCTCCATCTGTACCTTCTCTCTGGGTCAGGTGAAAGAACGCCAGTGCTTCCCGAACTATCTCTGTGCTGTCCAACCCTCCAAATTTACCAAGTCTGAATAACATTTGGACCTGCCCTAAACCACCAATTCAATTTGCATCTAATCCGACAGGCCCTTGGTGCTGTGTTGGTGGATCTAAGAGAGCTTTAGAGCACAACTATTATTATTCAGGATATGTATAGCACCAACGGTTTGCACCACACTTTACAAAATGAAGATTAAAGAGTGGGAGATGGAGACAAAATTACTCTCCATGTCCTCGTGAACAGGGTTTTACTGGTGCCACACCCCTTAATGGAAATGTAATTAACGAGACCCTAAGCAAGAACAACTAATGGGGCTTTAACCGTTTCAATACCGGGCAATTTTACACCTTCCTGCCCAGGCCAGTTTTCAGGTTTTCAGCGCTCTCCACACTTGAATGACAATTGCGCGGTCATACCACATTGTACCCAAACTAAAATGTTATCATTATCTTCACACAACTAGAGCTTTCTTTTGGTGGTATTTAATCACCGCCGGGGTTTTTGTTTTTTGCTAAATTAACAAAAAAAGACCAAAAATTTTGAAAAAAAAACCACATTTTTCTTTGTTTCTGTTATAAAAGTTTACAAATAAATAATTGTTCTTCATAAATTTAGGCCGAGATGTATTCTGCTACATGTCTTTGGTGAAAATAACCCAAATTAGGATGTATTATTTAGTTTGTAGGAAAGTTATTAGAGTTCACAAACTATGGTATAGATCTGAATATTGATCAATCCTGAAGTACTGACAGCCAATCTAATTTCTTGAGCTCCAAGAATGTCAGAACAGTACAGATATCCCCAAAATGTCAGGACGGTACAGATATCCCCCAAATGTCAGGACAGTACAGATATCCCCAAATGACCCCTTTTTGCAGAGTAGACAGTCCGACGTACTTCATAAGAGGAATGGCGAGTTTTTTGAAGTTGTATTTTTTGTCATAATTTTTCGGAAAATGAAAACATTAAAAAAAATTATTTTCACTAAATTTTTTTTTTTTACATACTGTCACCAGTGCAGTACAGCGTCATCATATAACTGGCATGGCGGTGATCAGGGACACTGACTGGTGACAGTATGAAAAAAAAAATATATATATATTTTTTTTAATTTTTTTTTATTTTTTTTATTATATTTAATTTTTTATTACATTTTTTTTATTTTTTTTTAAGATTTTTTTTTCATATTTTACTATGACCAAAATAGTACAATGTTACCATAGTAACATTGCACTACTTTGGGGAAGTGATCAGTATTTTTTTTTTTTTTTTACACAATTTGCTTATAGCAAAGAATTACTTTGCTATAAGCAAGCATTTACCTGAATGAAATCGATTCATTCAGCTTTTTTATTTTTTTTATTTTTTTTTTTGTGCCTAGCTGTGATTTGGTCACAGCTAATCACATGACATGTGCATGTGATTAGCTGTGACCATTCACAGCTAGGCACTAGTATACAATGGATGGCATCATGAATGAAGCCATCCATTGTATACAACTGTCATGTGACCTGCTGTGATTGGTCACAGCAGGTCACATGGTACCGGCAACGGGAGCCGGTACTCGGATCTGTCATCGTGCCGTGTCCGAGGTGCAACGGTGACAGATCACACTGCTGCGTCGCTCTGCAACCGCGCAAACCGCGCATGT